GGGGACAGGGACATGGGGACAGGGACATGTCACACACAGGGACACGTGCACCAGGTGCTGGCCCACCTCGTGTGGCACGAACGAGATCCCTGAGGGGACAATGGGGACAGGGACATGTCACACACGGGGACACGGGGACAGGGACATGTGACACACAGGGACACAGGGACAGGGACATGGGGACAGGGACACGTCACACATGGGGACACGGGGACAGGAATGTGTCACACACGGGGACAGGGACACGGGGACACCTCAGGGACACGGGGACAGGGACAGGAGTCAGGGACAGAGATACAGAGTACAACATCCCCAGGGATGTCCCCAGTGTCCCCAGGGATGTCCCCAGTGTCCCCAGGGATGTCCCCAGTGTCCCCAGGGATGTCCTCAATGTCCCCAATGTCCCCAGGGATGTCCCCAGTGTCCCCAGGGATGTCCCCAATGTCCCCAGGGATGTCCCCAATGTCCCCAATGTCCCCAGGGATGTCCCCAGTGTCCCCAGTGTCCCCAGGGATGTCCCCAGCTCACCGAGGTGGCCGTCCCGCAGCCGTTTCAGCTGGCAGGGCTCCATGTCCCTGATGTCCCCAGTGTCCCCAGTGTCCCCAGGGATGTCCCCAGGGATGTCCCCAGTGTCCCCAGTGTCCCCAGCTCACCGAGGTGGCCGTCCCGCAGCCGTTTCAGCTGGCAGGGCTCCTTGCGGCCCGAGGGCGCGGTGACGCTGGCGCTCAGCTGGCTCAGGTCACTCTCGCCGATGTCCAGCGGGATCTCGGCCGAGGCTCCCACCTTGAGGTGGGACTGGCGCAGGGAATCGTCACCTGTGGGGTCACCCGGGGTCAGTGGGGTCACTCAGGGGTCAGTGGGGTCCCCTGGGGGTCACCCGGGGTCAGTGGGGTCACCCTGGGGATTTTTTTCTTTTGCTTTTTTTTTTTTTTTTCGGTTTTTTTGGATTTTTTTTAAAATTTTTTGGGTTTTTTTTTTTTTTTTCGGTTTTTTTGGATTTTTTTTAAAATTTTTTGGGTTTTTTTTTTTTTTTTCGGTTTTTTTGGATTTTTTTTAAAATTTTTTGGGTTTTTTTTTTTTTTTTCGGTTTTTTTGGATTTTTTTTAAAATTTTTTGGGTTTTTTTTTTTTTTTTCGGTTTTTTTGGATTTTTTTTAAAATTTTTTGGGTTTTTTTTTTTTTTTTCGGTTTTTTTGGATTTTTTTTAAAATTTTTTGGGTTTTTTTTTTTTTTTTCCCTGGATTTTTGCAGATTTTTAAAAAATTTTTCAGGTTCTTTTTGCTTTTTCCCATTTTTGGTGTTTTTCACCCCAGATTTTGGGTGTTTTTTTCCTGTTTTTCCTCCGTTTTACCGGTGATCCTGGCGGTGAAGGGGCTGCCAGCGATGTGCCGGTGACCCCTGATGTGTTTCCCGGGGGTTTTGGGGTGGGATTTTGGTTTTTTTTCAGGTTTTTTTTGGTTTTTTTTGATTTTTTCCCATTTTTGGTGTTTTTCACCCCAGATTTTGGGTGTTTTTTTCCTGTTTTTCCTCCGTTTTACCGGTGATCCTGGCGGTGAAGGGGCTGCCAGCGATGTGCCAGTGACCCCTGATGTGTTTCCCGGGGGTTTTGGGGTGGGATTTTGGTTTTTTTTCAGGTTTTTTTTGGTTTTTTTTGATTTTTTCCCATTTTTGGTGTTTTTCACCCCAGATTTTGGGTGTTTTGGGTGTTTTTTACCGGTGATCCTGGCGGTGAAGGGGCTGCCAGCGATGTGCCAGTGACCCCAGGTGTGTTCCCCAGGGGTTTTGGGGTGGGATTTTGGGTTTTTTTCAGTTTTTTTGGGTTTTTTTTGATTTTTTCCCATTTTTGGTGTTTTTCACCCCAGATTTTGGGTGTTTTTTCCTGTTTTTCCCCCGTTTTACCGGTGATCCTGGCGGTGAAGGGGCTGCCAGCGATGTGCCAGTGACCCCAGGTGTGTTCCCCAGGGGTTTTGGGGTGGGATTTTGGGGTTTTTTTCAGTTTTTTTTTGGTTTTTTTGATTTTTTCCCATTTTTGGTGTTTTTCACCCCAGATTTTGGGTGTTTTGGGTGTTTTTTACCGGTGATCCTGGCGGTGAAGGGGCTGCCAGCGATGTGCCAGTGACCCCAGGTGTGTTCCCCAGGGGTTTTGGGGTGGGATTTTGGGGTTTTTTTCAGTTTTTTTTTGGTTTTTTTGATTTTTTCCCATTTTTGGTGTTTTTCACCCCAGATTTTGGGTGTTTTGGGTGTTTTTTACCGGTGATCCTGGCGGTGAAGGGGCTGCCAGCGATGTGCTTGTCGTTGTACTTGACCACGATGCCGTAGTCGCCGGGCAGCACGGGCAGGTAGGACACGGAGCACGTCCCGTCCCCGTTGTCCTGGCAACTGATCTCGGCCTTGGACGGACCCTCCACGGCCAGGGACAGACCCCCTGGGGACATTGGGGACATTGGGGACATTGGGGACATCATTGGGGACATCACTGGGGACATCATTGGGGACAGGGACAGACCCCCTGGGGACATTGGGGACATTGGGGACATCATTGGGGACAGGGACAGACCCCCTGGGGACATTGGGGACATTGGGGACATCATTGGGGACAGGGACAGACCCCCTGGGGACATTGGGGACATTGGGGACATCATTGGGGACACTGGGGACATGGGGACAGACCCCCTGGGGACATTGGGACAGCGACAGACCTGCTGGGGACATTGGGGACAGGGTTAGGGACATTGGGGACATTGGGGACAGCAGGTTGGGGACATAGGTACAGGGTGAGGGTCCCCCTGGTGTCCCCCCCACAGTGTCCCCAGTGCCCTTGGTGCCTCCCCAGTGTCCTCCCAGGTGTGTTCCCAAATGTCCTTAATCCCCCCAGTGTCCCCAGTGCCCCCCCAGTGTCACTCGGTGTCCCCGAGCCCTGTCCCCAATGTCCCCAATGTCCCCAATACCCCCAGTGTCCCCAGCTGTGTCCCCAGCTGTGTCCCCAGAGTCCCCATTGGTGTCCCCTCGGTGTCCCACCCTCTCCGGCATCCTTGCTGTTGATGGTGAAGGTGGCCAGCCGGTGTCCCCAGCCATGTCCCCAGTGTCCCCAGTGTCCCCCACCATCCCCAGTGTCCCCCTGGTGTCCCACCCTCCCCGGCGTCCCTGGTGTTGACAGCGAAGGTGTCCCCCCAGTGTCCCCCCGGTGTCCCCAGTGTCCCCCCGG